AAAAAAAAAAAAAAAAAAAAAAAAGGCAAGATTCAGTGCACAGGGATAATGCATATTTTGGTGATGAAATCAGCTAATTGATAGTAAACAGAACAGTGCTTGCCACAAACTAAATAAATGGGCATTAAGTGTGCACGTTTGTGGCATTACCTGACAAATTTTCAAGCTCATTCTAGATTTTGGTTTCTTTTAAAAGTCTTCATCATTCACCACTCTACTTCTGCTTTTCCCCACCACATGTTTGTTGAATCTAATTTTTGGTAGCCCCACCCTTATTCTTTTCATTGTTATGGGTTTCTGTTTAACTGATTATTTTTATTGCTATTTTGCTTGCTTCTATGGTATGTTAAAATAAATATGTGATCACCGTCAATACCTAGAATCCTCATTTATAATTGTGAATTTAATTACCTTAGATTCTTTTCTTATTTTTCTATCTTAAAAGACATAAAGTCTAAATCATAGGGTGCTAAAATGATTTTTTTCCCTAAAGTCAGCAAGTTAAAAAAAGTAAACTGTAACTGAAAATTCTAAATGTTTCTATGTGACTCTATACAGAAATCACTTTATGGCTAGTTGTAAAAATAGGTAAAAAATTAAACTGGCATTTCTTTCTTCTGTTTTCTAAATGCTTGGAAACTTTTCAAGTATTTAAAAAGATATTTTGCATTAACGCATAAATCCAATTAGAAAAAAAAAAGAAATGTTAGATTTGTCCAATGTACTAAATCATAGTCAACGGTCACTGGTCAAAAAGGCTATGAGCATAAGTGTTGTGTTTGCCCTTTAAAGTCAAATAACAGCAGTCAAAGAGAAAATAATAACCATTTCATTTTAATGCCTTCAGCGTTGATAACTTAAGTACTTTTTAGTTTGGAGGCCTCATTCTTTCTGGTGTATAATTACGTATCTTAATGGTAAAACTTTCAGGATGTATCATTAATTCTAGTTCTCTATAACAAAGCTGCTGGCTGCCAACAAACTTCTGTGGTAAATGCACTGCAGTATCTTTCCAAGGTTCCTTCTAACCAATACTAGTTCTCAGTCTCCAAATATAGCGCTATTTTCCAAAGTGGGAAAGTGAGCTGTGAAAGTGGAAGCTGAGCCTGCCCTATATTTGGCCTGCACACAATTATTATTTTGAGAAAATAGAAAAATATAAAATAAAAAAGATGCTCAAAAATCTGAATTTGGAGAGAAGAAACTTCAGTGTTTTTGTCCAGCAGCACGAATTTCTTTCTTCAATATATTCCATATTGATAGAATACTATTCTACTAAAAGGCATCACCAAAATTAAGTCAGTTCAAAATCAGTAAAATCAGCTTAATAAATGAGTGGGGTAATGCCTCCAACTATGTTTAAATTAACTTGCATGTTTCTAATTGGATTCAACTTATTTTGAATTGAATCCAATTTGAAACAGTTATATGTGTATGAGACGAAATACAGCCATGCTTCAAAGACTATGAAATCAGATAAAAGTTATAGTAAATTTCATAAGTTTTTCAAAGGTCGAAAATGACTGGAAAGTTACATGAGACCAGGCAAAACTATAGAGAAGACAACTAGAATTCATAATGGCCTTTAAATCAATAAAATAAAAATAATAAAGTGCTTATTTTTTTGTTTTATCCATATGGATATCATTTTGAAAAGTTTCAAACAACAATATGCAAAGTAAGAAAGCTCATTGGGGCTAGATACACAGAGCTGGTATCAGAACATTAACAATTTATGCAGGAAAAGCATGGTCAAGGAATGTGCTACAGGCAACCTGTGTGGCCAAAAGAAAAAAAAAATTGATTCTACAGACAGACAAAGTTAGCTTTTAATTCCAGCTCAACACTACCTGGATATGTTACAACTATGAAATTCATTTAAATTCTTGCGACTTTAGTTTCCTCACTTAGTGATTACTAAGTGATAGAATGCTTGTGAAAATTTAATGAGAGAACATTTGTAAAACCCCTACCGTAGTACCTATAATAAACAGTATTTTCAATGATCCAGTAAGAATATTATATTTTATTTTTATATACATCTACACATATAGCCATGGTGGCAATATTTGTCTTGCTTGACCTTTCTAAACTCTCTAGTGCCTATACAAGTGAGTTTTCAATTTTACTATTTATTATTCAGATTCAAAGGTCACAGACTCCAAGCAACCTTGGTCGTTGCTTGTTCCATTTAAAATAAGTATGACTAAAATATAAATTGAAGTCCAAATATCACTAAACTTGATTCCAACCAAGAAATCTTCAACTAATTCAATAAAGAATATTATTTTCAATTTACTTCATGTGTTTAAATTAAATTCCAACTTCTTTAAGCAGAAATAAAAATAG